AAAAAAAAAAAAAAAAAAAAAAAAAAAAAAAAAAAAAAAATTTAAAGAAGTCATAGATGCCCAACAGTCCATGGTCCTGAATCGTACTCACCTTTCATTTTGTCCATCATTTCCATGGTCTCCCCAAACAGCTCCTCTGCCTCTGTCTTGATGCTCAGGATTCGACTGCCTTGCTCACCCAGCATGGGACTCTGACCCAGCCGGTCCTTCAACTCTTTATACTTTTGCTTGAGTCTCTCAAAGCCCTAGAAAGGTAGGTCATTCTCAATATCACCATCAGCATCATTTAAAGTCCTAAATGCCAGTGGCTAACTGGCATCATCCAAATCAGCACATAGACTCCTAGTACCCTCACAAGCACTGGGTTTGCCTATAATGCCCTACTTATGAGCCCCAAGGAATGTCTTACAATTTTGTCTTTCCCCCTGTTGTGTCACAACCCACCGTACTTGCCAGGCACAAAATGACAAGTTAATGTCAAGGTACGTTGGCAACTTGTTCACTAGACCAGGATTGCATGTGTCTGTGTTCCTGTCCTGAGTAAAGCAAGTGGTACACCCAAGATACCCAACTGGCTCTTTGAATTTCTTTGTCCTGATTCTGACTAGGATGGAACGCAGTGTGTCTGTTTGAGCCATGAACGTCTGATGAGGCTGGAGACTCTGGAGATGAGCTCCAGGGTAGGTAGTTTTCAATTTTGTAAATGAATTTTGACCTGGGAACAAGTCACTACCTCATTTGTAAAGGGACAGTATCTAGGATAGTTCCTGTGTCCTGCACCAGCTACCCAGAAGGGCAGGGGCGGGATTTAGACACAGACTGTGTCTGGGTCCACTCTGAACCATTTACACAGTTCTATCCTGTGTGGTCTTATGTAAGATCTTCCTGGCTCGGGAGTCCCACCCTGGATCCATGTCACTGGGATGACTCTGTCCTCTTTGTACCTCTTGGGCACTCAATGCCTGCTCGTTGGCACCCTCTGCAAGCTTCTGGGCCTGAATTGCCTGTGCCTGCTCCTCCTGGGCCTGGTGGCGGAGCCTCTCCATCCGTGCCCAAAATCCACTCAGCTGCTCCTTCATGCCTCTCACCAGCCTTTCAGCTGGCACCAGGACCTGCTGGACCTTTGGGGACAGATAGAGGAATCAGGGTTTGTGTTGGGTCTCACAGGTATCAAGGGACCTCGTTTCCCTAGCTCGTCTCTTCAGGGAGGAAAATCTTCCTGACCATGATGCTTTGACTCAAGCTACCTGCCCAGCGGTACCCAGACTTCCCCTTTTCTAGATCAACTGACTTTATTCCCAGTGCAGTTCAGAATCCATCACGGCCTTTGCATCCTGGACAGGTGACACAAATCTGAAGCTCAGAGCCAAGTGAATCTAACCAGGTCACATTCTAGCACCTTCTGTCTTGTACCTAACGGGTTCATTCCCAAACATAGGGAGCTCTAAGGCCTCACCTCAGCAACCCTTTCCTGGATGAGTCGAAGGGAGCGGCCGGTGCCCTGCATAGTGTCCTGAGCTTCCTGCAGAGCCACGGTGCCCTGCCGAAGGTTCCCAACCACATCGTCTACCTGGCCTTCCACAGCTTGGGCTCGGCTTCTGAGTAGAGGAAGAGGAAGGAGAATGAGGGAGCAGCAAATGAACAAATATGAGCTCAGCTCACACCATCCCTGGGGAACATTGTGCTTAGGCAATAAAACTCAGGGAAACATTAGCTCTCTCCCCCACGGGACCCACCTAGAGGCAGGTGAGTGAGAGAGTGGTGCCCATGACACTCTCAGGAGACAAGCTCCCTGCATGAAGGACTAGGTCATGTGAATGAAACGCAGCCCGGACCCTGTAGATACCCTGCTTCCCTGGCATGGTAAGCTCCTCCCATACTACAGCCCCTGTAACCCTCTGGCAGCCACAAGGTTGGGGAGCAAACATGAACTCATTTGTATTAGGAAGGCACGGGGGGCCAGTGGCCATACCTGGCCTCCTCAGCCTCTGCCTGGAGCCTGCGGGCCCGTGCGATGTCCTGCTTGGTCCGGGACAGCACTAGGTCCACATTGGGGAGCCTGGCAGCAATGGCCTGGATCTCTTTCATCTTGCGCAGCACTGTGGCTGAGTCAGTGGGCAGCCAGAGCGCCAACACTGCTTCACTGACCTCTTGGATGGTGGCTGCATCTGTGTCAGGGTCTGGAAGACAGCCAACCGAGCCATCGGATTAGAGGCCCCACTCAGCTCCCCTAGGATCCACAGACTCTCCAGGCTGGGTAGCATTGCTGGAGGATGTCTGCTGTAGCCCCTCTGTTTGTTTCCCCAAGAGCCCTGCTCCTGGACAAACCCAGGCACCTTTCTCTGGTGGAGGTGGTGGCAGTGTGTGTGTGGTAGGGTGTTTAGGGGAAGCTATAGGACTCTTGTCCTGTGTTCTGCTGAGGGGAGGGGAGGAGGGATGTGGGCACAGCTGTGGCAGCTAAGGTTCTGGTGCCACAGGAAGCTGTGGGCTTAGAGGGGGGCGGTGCCAGGCAGCTGGTACTGAACAATGTCAGCAGCACATACACAATCAGCTCCAAATTGGGAGGAAGCGGCCAGGAATTGGAGCTGCTTCCTTGGCAACAGGACCCCTTCCCTGCACCCCTCTTCAGACCTAAGTGCTCATTTTTGCAAAGGCAGAAAAGGACTGCCATTTTTTAACCTGAAATATCACCATCTCAGATAGGCCAGTCCTAGCAATGGAACCTAGAATCAGCATTCCTATCCCCCTCACCTCATCATGCTCCTGAGAATGTGGCATGTCCCCCCTCACCTCACGTTTCTCCCAAGCACGTGGCTTGTCTCCCCACCCCCGTAAAAACACTCCTCTTACTGGCTCAGCTCTCTTCTCTCCTGCTGCAGTGTGAAAACCTGAGAACAGAGACTAGGCTTTGCCCCATTTGAGTCCCCAGATCCCAGCTCAGGCGAGGCGTCTGGAGGTCCTTTGAATTTGAGGGGTAAATCAAAGACAGAAAGGGCACTCGCTCTTGACCTCTCAGGCCACTCAGGTTCAGGTTCAGTTTCCTGACCTGTGAAATGCCTTGAGTGAACCTCCCTGCTCCCCATCCTGGGCTGTGGCATGTCACCATCAGTTATCAAGAGTTTTTACAAAGTGTCTCAGGGAGAGATCCAGAGGACAAGGACAGAGGTGTTACCGTCTCACCTCTCAGCTGCTTCTACAAAGACCACTCTGGAAAGTAGTGTCTGCTTAACCAGAGGCGCAACATGGTTGAGAGGGAGGAGGGGCCTCTAAGCTCCCACCTGCTCCCAGGAACAGAGCCCAAGCTACACACAGAAGTCAGTCCCTCCCTGCCTGACCTAGGCCTGCTCAGGTTAACACAAGATGGCGATTCAGCCTCAAGCCCCAAACCTTGGTTGTCCTTTTGTTCTCATGTGTCAGGCACCTTTGCCCTGCACTCCTGTAACATGTTTCCCAGTGGCTCCTCCTACTTAAGTCACAGGGCCTCTGTAGACCCTTCCTGGGCTTGAGTCGTGCTTACACCACCCACGGCTCCATGCATGGCCTACTGTCTGCACACTGGAGACAGCTTTGGCTTGTTTGGGGTTAAAAACACTGCAGTAGTAGCATGAGCCATTGCTGTGTGCCCAGCCCGCAGCTCATATCAACCAGGCTTCCAGCCAAGCAAAGTTCTGGCAGGGGCCCGAGAGCTAATAATATCAACTCACACTCCAGAGGTGCCTTTAATTCGTCAAAGCACATTTCACAGCAGTTACTCAGTTCTTGGGATAAACCTGTAGAATACTACCAACTCTGTTTTCAAGGGAGAGATAAGGTCAAGAGAAACAACCTGCCCCAAGCCAAGTCCCCTGAGTCCTATCCCCTAGGCTGCCAAAGAGGATCTGGCCCATCCATTTATTTCTTTATGTGTCCATTCATTCATTCTGCCAGTCTTATATAAGTGCCTGAGATACAGCCATGAATAAAACAGACATCCAACCTTGCTGTCCTAGCGCACAATGGGTGGTACAACCATTTCTGCATGGAGGAGGGATACACAGACAGGGAGACTATAAAAGGTCTCTCCAGGGAGGTGTCTTTTAAAGCTTTAGCCTTGGAACTATTCATCCCAGGCCAGCAAGGATCAGTGAAAGATTCTGCAGTGGGCAAGGGCCTGACAAGTTCAAAGTGATGCCTAGTGAGCAAAGGAAAGAGAAGCATAAAGTCACAGAGAAGAGATGGACAGAGGTCAAGAAAGGAGCCCATGTTCATCCAAGAACAAGGTGGGGAAGTTGGAGGGAGAGTAGGAGGGCAACAAAATCAATAGCCAAAGACCAAGGCAAGAGATATGGCCAAGCCAGTGGGCAGCAGGCAAGGCAGGAAGGAGGTGGTAGGCTAATGAAGCAGATGTGGGCATGAGGGGCAGATGGCAGCCAGGACACGCACAGAGGCAAGGGTCAGCTCACCTGTGAGGAAGCCCCGGACCTGCTGGATGAGAAGCCGTGTGCGCTGGACATCTTCTTCCATCTGCAAGCGGCTGGTGCTCACCTGGGTCTCGAGGCGCTGGGCATCTGACTGGACCTTTGATGCGGCCTCCTCAGCTGCCCTAATCTGTTGAAACACAACATCAGTCAGAAAAGGACAATGCCTCCAAGGAGCCTCTGTGGGGCATCCTCTCCAACTCAGTTTGCAAATGATATTTATGTAGGACTTTAAGAGAAAGCTCAAGATATCAACTCCAAATTCTCCTTTACACTTGCTATGAGGCATTAGACAAACCACCTGAAACCTCTGGGCTTTATTTTCCTGGCTGTAAAATGTGAACTCTGATTCAGGGACTCTGCGCTCTCCGCCTCTTGCCCCCATACTTTGTGGTACCTACCATCTGCCTGGTCTGCTGGAGCTGGGAGTTGAAGCCCCGTAGTTGATCAGCCACTTGCCCTGCCATGTGGAAGGCCCCTCTGGCTCTGGGCAGGGTTCCCATGCAGTGAGAGCCACAGGCTGTGCCATTGTCGTGGGGACACAGCTCTCCAGGGCATGCTCCTGGGGTGCAGGCTGCCTGTCTAGAGCTGCCACAAAGCTGTGGAAAGATGAGGGTGTCAAAGAGGCCCCTCCACAACCACTCCCATCCCACACTAAACAGCCACACATCTCCATGGCAACCAGAACCATGTTTCCTTGGCAACCCCTCAGTGCACAGCACAGACATGGGGTCAGGAGGAAAGGGGTAGGTTCTGAATGGGACAGATTACAGATGTGAGGGCTTAGGATACTGGGCTCTCATTCCCAGTCACCTTGTTGATGGTGGGTGTCAAGTCAGGCAGAGACGCCATCTCCAGGTGCAGGGCCATGAGCTGGGCTCCTCCGGCTCCTCTTCCCCCAGCCTGACTCTCCAGCCCTTCTATCTCCCTTCGATTGACCCTCAGCTGGCTCAGCAGGCTGGAACTGTCAGACACCTGCTGCGCAGCCCGGGAGGACTGCTCATAAGCAGTGGTCAGCATGCGGAAGGCTCCTGAGGGAGACGGAGAGGGATTGGAAGCCGTGGGTAGGGGCCTTTCTCCCTCGGGAGAGTAGTCTGTGCCTAGGTCCTCACCTGAAGGGTCTGCACTGCTTAGCTTCTCAAATTGCTCCTTCTTGCTCTGGTATATAAGGAGGAGGCGATTGAAGCTTCTGTCCAGATTCCCCAGGTCTCCAGAGAAGGACTCCATCTCCTCCTCTAAGGGTAGGTCCAACTGCAGGCCCTGAAGAGTCCGCCTGAGTCAGAAGGATATTTGCTGAGACATAGCGAAATGCTGTACCTGAGTCAGGAGAAGCAGACTGCACGGGGAAGGACCTTCCACAAGGGCAGGAGAGGGGACAATCCACAGGCTACTAAGAATTCTGCTTGGCAGTGGCTCAGACAAGCTGGGGTCCAGGCACAGCCTACCCCACCTTGTAACAATAACCTAACCCTAGAACTCTTGAGGACTGCAGGCCGTCTCGGGAGTGCCAAGTCCAACACCCAAGAGCGCAGGACAGCATGAGTGCATGAAGCTACACCAATGCCATGCAGCAGCTTGACAGGGCGGGCTGCGGTGGCAGGTTCCCTGTTTCCTCTGGGAACCTCAGGGTGTGGGGTGATCCCACTCACTGACACTATTCTGTAACAATAAGTCTTTCCACCAAGCCTCCCGAGCCCCGCTGCCATGTGGGCGCTTTCTGCCAGGCCGCCCAAGTTCTGCCCGCCACCACGTTATGGTCCCAAGTAACACACAGAGACTTATATTAGGTACAAATGCTGCTTGGCCAATGACTAGGATTTCTCATCTGCTAGCTCAGTCTTAATTATCATAAATCTATATATTTTATAAGATTTATCTTATCAGATGCCAGCGGAAGTCCTGTCTTCCTGGGCTCACATGGTGACTGTGCTTTCTCCTACCTTTCCCAGAATCCTCCTTGACTCCTAGCCCCACCTATCTTGTTTTCCTATTGGCCAACAGTACTTTATTTATCAGCCAATAAGACAGTCACATACACAGAAGGACCTCCCCCATCACCACCTCTCTGCAGGTGACTCTGAATGCTCTTTCTCTCCTTGATTTCTATCAGCCTAACATCTGGGATCCATCTCCATCTCCTGGCTCTTTCTGGTTTCCCTGACGGGAGCCACCCCGCTGGCCCAGTCTCTCCTTCATAACTGCACCCCCCCCCATGGAGCTCCAACCCCATTGTGTGCTCACTGGTCATTTCCACCTGACAGAGGCTTGGGGTGTCACTCCAAGCTCTGAGTCCTGAGCTTGAAAGCCAGTGGTTCTCTGTCTTTGTGCCTCATGCCCTCAGCTCCACCACTATGCCCTGCCCCCTTCTACACAGCTCTATCACACAGCCTTGCCCAGGCATAACATGCCCTTTTGGGACCTACCAAAACACAGCACATGCCTATGTTGACCACCTGAGGACTTATCTAATTCTGAGACTCAGGTCATATAGCCCTTCCCTGTGAAGGCTGTGAAGGCCACCATGGCCTCCCCTGTGAGAATCTTAGCACTCTTAACACATCCCATGTAGCACATTGTTGTTTACAGGACAGACACCTTAGCCCTTGGCACGTGAAGCCCATGTCGTAACATTTTAATGACCCTGGTACCTTGCACAATCACTTGGATGCTATTTGGGTACTCAGAAGCCCATTTGGAAGGGCTGGGGGAGATGGCTCAGTGAATAAGAAAGCTTGTGCTGCAAGTATAAAGACCTGAGTGCAGATCTCCAGCACACACATTAAAAGCTAGACCATAACAAAAGCTGTGAGTCTGTGGGAGACTCTGTCTCAAGGCTGTAAGTCCTACAGGGACAGCTAGGAGACACACAACATCCTGCTCTGGCCTCTGTGTACTTATACCGCACCTTTGTACTCATGTGCACCCCCACACACCCACACCCAAATGTGGAATGAATGAATGAACAAGTTCCAACAAGGTGTAGTTCATCCATAGGGTCCCCCAACCCTCACACTGCCAAGAATGTCTTAACATTCCTATGGTTAACAGAGCCTCTTATTCTTTTGGGGTTTGGCATCATCCATCTACCAATGCTCAGGAACACAAGCTAATTATAGAAGCTTCCAGAACCCGAGCTCCCAAAGAAGGCGCCTCTGCTGGTAGAAGGGGGTGTGGGTGGGACCATTTCCATTCTAAAGGCAAATTCAGAGATATTTTTAGTGCCCTGCCTCTTGGGTGCCCTCTGCCAAGGTGACTAATCCGGGGCTGACTGTCCCACTGGCAGTACAGGCTCAGGAAAAACGCTGGGCTCGGGCTCTGGGTCTGTCTGCATAGCTCATCATATCTGTGCCTGTCTCCACAGAATGGAATCAATACCAACACTCCACCTTCACAGACCTGCCTTGGTAGCTAAGAGAGGCTATGCATAAAAATGCCCCATGGACTAGACTGGGCCAGTGTGGCCCTTGCCCAAACCCACTGGGCATGATTCCTCCAACAGCTTGGTGGGAAAAGGACCTACCTGATAGACAAGATGCCATTTGCCACCTGAGCCACGTCCTGCTCTGTGACAGAGCTGCCCCCCAGGATCTGTCTGATCTGTTCGATCTTGCTCTTGGCATCTAGCAATCGAGAGGCTAGGCCACGGTCTTCCAGACCTGTCCCCGTCCACAGGCCTTCTGTGGTATTACGGAGACCACCGAGACGCTGAGACTGCTCCTGAAGATCCATGTCATAGGTCTGGAAGCAAGAGTGGCAAGCCACACATACTGGGTAGCGGTCGCAGTAGCCTCTCTGGCACTGGTCACAGCGGGGCCCCGTCACGCCAGGGCGGCAGAGGCAGCGGCCTGAGGCTTTGTCACAGCCAGGACCCTTGGTTCCTCCGAAGTTGCAGTCACATGCTAGAGTCGGGAGAAATGACACTCAGAGGCTTGGGTCAGGAAGAGGAAGGAGCACGGTGAGGATCTGGGTCTGCTTAAGTGACGACATACAGCATCAGATCACAGCAGCTAGCACAAAAGCCGTGGCAGCAACTCATAGAAAGCTTGTCATCAGCACCCATGGCAGTCCAGGTATGTTCTTAGTTACACATTCACATGTATGTGAGCCCATCTGACCGGCACACCACTGTGCGTTCACACTGATTTCCTGCTTTAGGAGGAGAAGGGCTCAGTACATGGTGTCTCCCCCTTAAGAAGAAGAAGTGTAAAAGGGGAGCAGCTTGCTTAGGCCCTGCATGGCAAGGATGAGACCAGATGGTCTTCGGACTCTAGTCCCATGCCATTGATGATATACAAACCCTGCAGGAAAACACTCCAGTCTTCCTCAGGACCCATGTTCTCCACTGTTGCTGGCTACTGCTCTCTGGGAGTGGGAGCAAGGTCCCCTGGTGTTAAGGAATTTCCCACCTGGTTCTGCAGCTGCCTTGCCCCCAAATAAACACACATTGCTATATTAATTATGAAACTGTTGGCCATTGGCTTGGACTTCTGATTGGCTAGCTCTGTCTCAATTACTATCCCATTTATATTACTCTAAGTATTTCCACATGGTCTTATCTTACCGGAGATGGGTGCAGACCTGTTACTCCTCTGCATGCTACATCCCAATTGCCTTCTGTCTATACCTCCCAGAATCCTCCTCATCCCCTAGACCCACCTATCATCTTGCCTCATTGGCCACAGTGGTTTATTCATCAACCAATAAGAGAAACATATATACAGAAGACATCCCCACCACCCTAGCCCCCATTCTGCACTGTGAGAACCACCTTAGTTAACCTGATCCAGGCACAGGGAGGCCAGGCAGTCTTTAAGGGTAGATGCTCACAGAGCTGTCCAGGTCATCAGTACAGGAGGTCCAACCATGTCAATGCCCTCCAACAAGCACCCCTTATCCCACCCCTCTACATGCCTGCTGCCTGGCCATGTAATAAGTACATACCACGGCACCCAGAGGCTACATCTCCATGGGTCTTGTCAGGACACTGGCGGATGGCTGCAGAACTGCATGTCAGGCCACCAAACCCTTCTCGACAAGGACACTGCCCTGTAAACTGAAAAAAGAGAATTCCATGGTGTGGGGGACCCTTCCAGTCTTTTCCTGGCCTTCCTACTGGCTACTGTGCCCAAGACCCTCACTCTACAGATCTGGTGCTCCATAAAACTAGGGCTTCAACTGGAAGACAAGCCCAAAGTCAAGTCCCAGTGCTGAGCTGCAGACGGTGTAGGGGACAAGTCTGACCCAAGGCTGAGAACCACAGAGGGAGGGACATCTGGTGGCCTCCCCCAAGGGGAAAGGGGACAGATGTAACCTTGCCTGACTGTAGGAAGGCCAGAGATCAGTGAAGGAGAGATAGAGACACTAGTAGGCAGGATGCCTCCATGACTGAGAAGCCCCAGGGCCAATGTGACCCATACCTGGTTGCACTGGGGGCTGAGGGAGTTGCGTGGGTCACACGCACAGGGCTCGCAGCCTCTGCCACTGGCCAGCTTCCAGTAGGAAGGGGCACACTGGTCACATTTGGGGCCCACCACGTTGGGAAGACACAAGCAGCGCCCACTTTCCTCCTCACAAGGCATATCTCGTCGGGCGCCTAGGATGCTGCAGTCACAGCCTGTGGAAGGAAAGGCTAGTCAGTGTGGACAGGCTTCCACAAAGAGGCTGGTGCCAGAAAACATGCACCAGAGAGGACCCCAGCCCTAGAAAAACAACTGTCCTGTAGCTTACTGGAGAATGTACGCTCAGGGACCCTTCCTACCAAGCTCTGACTAGTCCTGCTTCTGGGGACTGTATCCCAGACTCTCACTCGGTAGGCAGAACCCCAGGCACATGCTATGCAGAGCTGACACATCCCCCCAAAATTGAGCTCTGCTATGAGACCAGCCTGAAGTCACAGGACCTATGTCCTTGAGCATAGCATGGCTGACTCATAAGGCCACTGTGCCTTCCCACCCACCTGGCAGTTTGGCAGCTGGCCTGCCCACCCTGGCACAGACTGAATGAAACCCACCTTCCAACCCAGGCCTGTGCTGCCACCTGCTGAAGGACAGTGGCACAGCACACGGTGCCCTGAGTGGTCTTCCTCTGACAACAGAACACTCCAAGGACCCATACAGCCTGCCTCATGCCACACCACACCTCCCCAGGCCCTCTACTCACGGTGGCAGCCCTGTGGGTTGGCAAAGGTTAGTCCGGTGAAGCCAGGTTTGCAAAGGTCACAGCGCTCTCCTTGCACATATTCCTTGCACACACACTGGCCGGTCAACGGGTCACAGGGAGCTCCTGGCACTGCTCCATCTGGATCACACTCGCAGGCTGAGAATCAGAAACAAAGGAAGATCAGAAACAAAGGAAGAGGTGCCAAGATGGCCTGCTCCAAACCGCCCCCCATTCTACCGTGGGCTTCCAGGCTCGAGACCCCAGATGAGCTTGGAACACTTTGTGCCTGTTTTCCCATCTGCCACATGAGAAAAAGAAACTCCTTCTGAGTGGTGAGTGAAGAACACGGAGCGGGTGGGACAAGTGCTTGTTTGGCTCCTGATGAGTGCCACGCTCTTGCTTCTGTGACTACCGTGTTCCAAACACTGAGCGGGCCCCCTCACGTGCTGTCCTGCCCAGTCCTCAGGACAACCTCAACGGGTGGGTGGGGGCTGCCGTACACGCAAGTGCTTGCAGATGTTAACAAACTGGAGATTGCACTGGGAAAGCAGTCACTCTACCGCACTCTCCAGGCATAAACACCAGCAAGCTGCCCAGCTGCCACCCATTCCTTGGCTCCTTCTCGTCTTCTAAAACTCAAGGTTCCTTTGTCCAGAAGGTTTTTCCTGATCAAACTGGCCTCAAGCACTTGTTCTAGCCTGTGTTTCTTCTCTTGGGTCAGTGGTTCTCAACCCTTTGGGGGTTGAATGACCCTTTCACAGGGGTCGCATGTCAGACATTCTGCATATCAGATATTTACATTGTGATTCATGGCAGTAGCAAAATTACAGTTATGAAGCAGCAATGAAAATAATTTTATGGTTGGGGGGGTCACCACAACGTGAACAACTATATTAAAGGGTCACACACAGCATTAGGAAGGTTGAGAACCACTGTCCTAAATTAATCCAGTGGTCTGGTGGGCATATTAAGCCATTCTGCCCATTTATTCAGTCAACAAACACTCAACCATAGTGATTTGCTTGTCACTGTGCGGGGGCCAGAGGACTAAGACATAATCTCATAGCCAGGCGTTGGTGGCGCACGCCTTTAATCCCAGCACTCAGGAGGCCGAGGCAGGCGGATCTCTGTGAGTTCAAGGCCAGCCTGGTCTACAGAGCTAGTTCCAGGACAGCCAAGGCTACAAAGAGAAACCCTGTCTCAAAATCAAAAACCCAAAACCAAATAATAATAATAATAATATAAGAGAAGAGAGAGATAATTTCATGATGGAGGAAGGAAGAGTTCTCAGCACTGGAGAAACAGGAAAACTGTGGTGCACGTGACACCCACAGTAGTGTCACAGACACAGAGCTTGCACCCCTCGGTTTCACAATGCGTGTGTACTCCAAAGGCAGGAGCTGTGCTGTGTGTTTTCATCTCTCTGTGCCTTCTGAAAAGAAGCTGTACACTGACCAGCAAGCTCATCGTTTGATTGCTACAGACAGGGAAAAGGTAGAGCACAGGTGAAACAATCCCACAAGTCCTTCCTTGGGACCAGTGCTTCCTTGCTTCTTGATGGTCTCCATGTCCCCAGGGATAAACTGGGGAGAATGAGTGAATGGCACCTGTCCCCAAAGCCCCTACTCACGGATACAGGTCTCCTGAATGGGAGCGCCGGGTCGTCTATTCCGGAAATAGTGTAGCTGACAGCGCTCACAGTTCTTGCCCTCGGTGTGGTCTCGGCAGTTGTCACACACACCTCCATGTGTCCCCTGGCTGGCAGCGAACACAGCTGGGTCAAAGTGGCAGGTCTCTGAGTGCCCGTTGCAGTCACACCCTAGATGGGGAGATCCAAGATTGACTCCATGGGGCAAGAACAAACCACCATGGCAGGCCCCAAGTAGCGTTTGGCACCCCCATCCGGCCCACGACATGCAGAGCAGGGACGTGGGACCCAGTTTCAAAGGAGACTGGGGAAGGCCTGCGTGATCAGGAAGAGTGCTAAGTGGACAGGCACTCAGGCCCCCAACTCCCTGTGTGGGATAACTCCAGAAAAAGGGAGGTCCTGATATGCCCTCTAGCAATCAACACAGTCACAGATGGGCCCCTGTCACTTTGCGATCCACACAGATGAAGGACCACTGGATATAGGGATGCACTCACTGGAAGCCAGATGTGTCTGACACAGAGTGAGGAGCCTGGAGGGGCCACAGCGGCTCTGGGAGCATATGCTTCCGTGTGAACCAAAGCCTGGCCCTTCAGGGCTGACAGAATAGGGAGAGAGAGACAGTGAGGGGATCCCAGTGCTGCTGCAAACCAGAGCTCTGAATGCAGGACTCAGTTCAGTTATAAGCAACCAAACCAGATTCCTGGTGTTCCTGGTAAGAAGCAGAGCAGTAAGGTCCCTTCCCGGTTGCTATGGTCAGAGTATGATCCCAGGCTCCTACTTTGGCACTCATGGGCATCCTGGCCCTCTGCAGGTCCCCATGGCCGATTGTTGTAGAAGGGGGCACAGCGCTCACAGTTGGGGCCAGCCGTGTTGTGCTGGCAGATGCAGACATTCTGGACCTGGGGGGGAGGAGCCAGTGATTACCAGAAAAGGGTTTATACAGGAAATCTTGAGGGCTGGATCTGCCCACTCCCTGCAGGCCAACCCACCTGCCCCATAAGACTTTGCCTAGACACAAGCCCTTCCAGGACCAGGACACCACGCCTAAACACTTCAGCCTTCACCCAGTTCTTGCAACACTGTGGTGGCCTGGATCTTTATCATGCTGTGTGCCCATGGGAGGGCAGCGTGAGTTATGTGTGTACGTGCGTCTTGCATACCAAGTATTCCACAGGTTTGACACCTGTGATGTACAGGCCAGAGCTCAGTGTAAGGTAGTGGACATTGTGCTAATGAACTGTGGGACTCTAGAGTCTGGCAGGTTCTCTGCAGCTTCATTCTGGCAATCTGTGACTAAGCTGTTTGGCTGGTGGAATATGCGTGGTGAGCTGTTACTAGACTCATTAAGATATAAAAATAGAATCACTATTGTATGCTAATTGCTTCCCCAAATTAAGCCCCACCTCCACAGCCTGTCATTCAGGGACCTTGTTGGCTCTTAGCTCCTCTTCTCTTTCTGCCACAGCTGAACCTCTAGCCACTCCCAGTGCAAGCTGGCATTTCCCGTTGGCCGATTCTGATGTTTTCCTGCCTGCCATAATTAATTTCTGCATTCACCAGCCAAGTGGGGCACATTTATTTCCCCTTCCTAGGCCTGCCCAGGTCCCTTTAGCTCCATGAATTGCCATGCTGGCTGCATGCATAGTCACCTGGGCAGAGGTTTACAAACACTAGAGCTCTGACCAAGTTCCAGCTGAACCTTGAACCTCAGGGACAAAGCTGAGGCATTGGTGCAGTCCCATGAGTTCCTTCTCACACCCTTGCATTCCTCCCACCAGGCCTTAGGTTCCCCTAATCTATCTTCTATGCCTTAAGAGGTCTTTTGCAGTCTCCAGCAGGAATTGTCCCACAAGTGGGCAGAGTGGAGACTAAGCTGCTGTCTCCACTAACCTCCCTCCTTAGTTGCTGGCTGTGATTCCTCCTGCCTCTGCCACCAGGCTGAGCACCACACACCCTTAGGTTGGCAGACAAGCTAATATCTTGGGAAAGGCAAACGGAATGCCCCAGTGCCCCTTCACTGCAGCCTCTCTCTCTTCTTCCCAGGGTCCTCCTGTTTGGGCTCACAGTGAACCCCGAGATCATGCTAAACTGGAGACCTCTGCCCATCCCTGCTGCATCACTACTGGCCGGTGTCCAGAGTGGACTTTGTGTACATGCTAAGCAGTGACCTCTTACCCAGCCCCACACCTTCCTGCCGGATGACTAAACCCCAAGACCAGTGGCTCTCAATTCCTCAGGACATAGCCACAGCCCGAAGCTTCAAACATCAGTAATGAAATCAGAATATCTGAGAGCAGAGGTTCAGACAGGCTATTTTGGCTCTCATTTCTTACAATTCATGATGATATTTTCATAGGTACATGGCAATTTCCACAGTGTAATAATGCTGTGAGACCCAGGTTGAGAGACTCTGCCTCAGCTTCCCTTGGACCCACACATAAGCTGAAACCATCCCCAGCTATAATACAGACCTGAAGTATACAATTTGACTTTCTGAAACAGTAGCTTTGCCTTTGTTCTTGAAGACTTAATAAATGACTATGTCTTTGTGTTTTGTTTTTCTTTGTATTGTTTGCTTGTTTGAGGGTTCTTTTTTTTTTAAGCAGATTGGGGTGCAGCCCAGCTAGTCTCAAACTCACTATGTAGCTGGAAATGACCTTGAACTCCTAGTCCTCCAGTGTCTGCCTTTTAACTCTGCTGGGCTTACAAGGTATGCACCACCGTGCCCGGCCCCTACCCTCCAACCTATCTCCCTACCCTGCTTTGGCCTTTTACTTGCTAGGCAAGTGCTCAACCATTGAGCTATGTCACCTGGTATATCCAACTTAAGCTGAGCAGCTGTCCTGCTTCGTGGGAAGGTCTGCTCTGGTCCCACCCCTTCCACCCACCCCTTCCACCCACCCCTTCCACCCCGCCATTCCCACCCTGGGCTGTAACCTGCACAGCCGTGGTGCGGCCTGTAGGGCCTCCAGGACTGGGGGCACAGCGGTTGGCATGTCCATGACAGAAGCAACTTCCATGTAGACGTAGCTGTGACACTGCAAAGTAGGCGCTGGGTGGATAGGCACCCCTCCGAGGCACAGGGGCCAGCTTGGTGAAGTTGACTCTTAGGTTTGTGATGTCTCCTAATTCTGAGAGTGGCACCAGCAAGGAGGGGAGGGAAAACAAAACAGGAAGTTAAAAGCCACAGGCGTCTCCCTCTTGGCTACCTTCCCATCATACCACAGACATTCTGGCCCTCAGCCTCCCCACACCATGTTACACATATTCCTGGAGGGTGAGAGGAGCAAGCACTACTTCCCAACCATACTGAAGATGTAGGAAGGAACTGGAAATTTCCGTGACCGGGGTCCCAAGCTGCTTCACGCCCCCACTAACATCCCCATGGGAAAGAGGAAGAAGAGTCAAACCAACCTTGAATCTTTCTACTTTGGGATGCAGGAATACCTGACGCCAAATCCATAAGATTAAGCTGGATCTGCTTGGAGAGAAGAAAGCTCAGAACTGCAGAGGACAGAAACGCACACCAAGTTCAGACACCCCCCTTCCCTTCTGTCCTCATTCTCCTTATACCCCTTCTCACCAGGAACCTGAGACAGACCATGGCCATGAGGCCTGGAGTCTGTGCTGGAATAGTAGATAACCACTGGACCCTAAAGGAGCATGCACAGATGTGTATGTGGTGGGCTGCTTGCATGCGTGTGTGTGAGTGTGTGTGTGTGTGTGTGTGAGAGAGAGTGTGTGTGTGAGTGTGTGTGCGTGTGTGTGTAAGTGTGTAAGAGTGTGGGAGTATGTGTGTAAGTGTGTAAGAGTGTGGGAGTATGTGTGTAAGTGTGTAAGAGTGTGGGAGTATGTGTGTAAGTGTGTAAGAGTGTGGGAGTATGTGTGTAAGTGTGTAAGAGTGTGGGAGTATGTGTGTAAGTGTGTAAGAGTGTGGGAGTATGTGTGTAAGTGTGTAAGAGTGTGGGAGTATGTGTGTAAGTGTGTAAGAGTGTGGGAGTATGTGTGTAAGTGTGTAAGAGTGTGGGAGTATGTGTGTAAGTGTGTAAGAGTGTGGGAGTATGTGTGTAAGTGTGTAAGAGTGTGGGAGTATGTGTGTAAGTGTGTAAGAGTGTGGGAGTATGTGTGTAAGTGTGTAAGAGTGTGGGAGTATGTGTGTAAGTGTGTAAGAGTGTGGGAGTATGTGTGTAAGTGTGTAAGAGTGTGTGTGTGAGTGTGTGTGTGAGAGGGTGTGTGAGTGTGCATGTGTGTGAGAGAGTGTGTGTGTGTGTGTGAGTGTGTGTGTGAGAGTGTGAGAGTGAGTGTGTGTGTGAGAGTGTATGTGAGTGTGTTTGTGTGCATGTGTGAGTGTGTGTGTGAGAGAGAGTGAGTGTGTGTGAGAGTGTGTGTGAGTGTGTGAGTGTGTGTGTGAGTGTGTGTGAGTGTGTGTGTGAGTGTTGTGAGAGTGTGTGTGTGTGAGAGTGTGTGTGTGTGAGAGTGTGTGTGTGTGAGAGTGTGTGTGTGTGAGAGTGTGTGTGTGTGAGAGTGTGTGTGTGCAAGAGAGTTTTATCATAATCAAGGCCAGCTTCATAGGCACTTGTGTGTGTGTGTGTGTGTGTGTGTGTGTGTGTGTGTGTGTTGGAAAATACAGGTCTACCTGCTATGTCATCTATTACAAGAGGGCTTTGATGATACTCACTTTTTTAATTTTTTCTTTAGTATTAGTGTGTGAATATGGTGAGTGTGGGAACATATGATGTGCATGGCATGTGTGTGGCATGTGCGTGGCATGTGTGTGCCGTGTGTGTGGAGGTCAGAGGACAGCATTGGGACATTGGTTTTCTCCTTCTCGTGCTACATTGGTTCTGGGGTCAAACCCGTGTCATCAGGCTTACACGGCCAGCACTTTACTCGCTGAGCCATCTCACCAGCTCTGCCGCGATTTACTTTTACTTTAGCATACACGATGATGGGTTTTGCCTGGCTTTTTCACACACAGGAGACGGTAAGACGTGGTGCCTGGATGAACGTGGCTTAAGTAAAGGCGCAATGCTGGCCACCCTGATCACCATCAGTTCTAAGTAGGCTTTTATTTACTCCACAAACCTCTCACCACATGTGACTTCCCGGCATGTCCCACCGAGTTTTCATTCCAACCCCTTACAAACAAGCACGAAGCTTTGGGCTCTGCTCAGGACTAGGAACACCTGAACACCCAGGCAGGGGAAAGATTTAACCAAATAGCTGGTGGGAGGACGCAAGGACATCTGTGGCCACATGGGGGCACCAGTCAGCCTGCCTGTCCCCAGAGCTGTTTCTCCAAGGGAAGGGGAACTCCAGCCTCCTCCATATGGAGTGGGATATGCTTTGGGGAAGAGAGGGAACACACAGGAAAGATCCCAAGAGAAAATTCTGGGTGTTTCTAAAAGCAGGTTGTCATTTTCATTGCAGATGCCCTTGGAGCTCTGGGTTACTCTTGAATCTCTCTTCATGGACTAGGTCTGGAAGACTGATAGATTAGACCCCGCCCCCCAAAAAATCATTTTTGTGGTAAATCCTATGAAAGTGAAATTACATGTGTTCTTTGCTCACTGATGTGTAAGTAGACATCCAGAAGTCCTCGTGGCAAAGTCCAAAGAGGTTTGCAGCCATGAGCCCTACAGAGGGAGCTGGGGGAAGTCAGGGCGGATGGTGCAGGAGAAACCTCAAGATGTGTCTGGGAGGACCCAGCAAAATGATCTGGCCTGGCCTGTAATCATACTTCGACTAGCAGACACGGGCTTGCTCCCTCTGCCTGCTGGTTCGGGTTCCCTATACCTACCTTCCCCCCAGTTAGACGTCCATTAGGCTTCTGGGGCAGGGGCTGGCACCGGACATCCTGCCAGTTCTTGGGCTGGCCCTGGTGGACCTGGGGAAAGGTGCTGGCACAGTCTGTAGCTAGGTACTGGTACACCCTCCAGGTCTTGCCAAAGTCAGAAGAGCGCTCGATCAACATGCCGGCTGGCATAGGACTCTGGGGAGACACGGGGCAAGGATGTGGAGTACGGCTGGGAGACTGAGGGAAAGAGTCACGGGTAGTATTTAGCAGGGGACACAATTGCAAAAGGAGGTTCCTGCAGAGAGGAGGGAGAGATGGACCAGCAAGAGCAAAGACTGTGGAAGTGACAGGGATGAGTCCTGTCTTCCAAGACAGTAGTCAGCACTCTACCCTCACCGCAGCCACCATGAGGTAAGAAACCATGCTACACCACATTCCCAGTCATGGTGCTTAGCTTCTCCATGGACCCCAGAGCAATAAGACCAAGTGGGCATGGTTTGAACCCTCTGAGCCTGTGAGCCAAGCATCTCCTTTTTGCTATCAAGTTCTTCATCATGGGCATCTTGTCACAGTGACAGAACACTGACCTACACACCCACCCTTATTAAAATCTAACCTAGCCTGACCTTGTGTGAGGGTCTGCTCTCCTTGCTTGGTCCTCAGCATCCCCCATCTCAGTGAGCCCACCCCCGCCTCAGCCTTCCTACCTGTCTCCTGCTTGGAACATACCTTCCCTGTGGTTCCTTCTCATCTTTTGTTGGAAGCCTAAATATCACTTCTGCATGGAGATTTTTTTTAGACCTATCTAACTTGCATTCTCCCACCCAGTCATGGCACTGTCTTCTAGTCTACCATCTGGCTTCCCTTAGAAATAGCATCACCGTTCTAATTATTTACTAGTCAGTTCCCTGCTTTCTAGGCAGGGTTTCTCAGCTTCACCGCAGTTCCTATTTCGGGTTGGACAAAGGAACCATCAGGCCACCCTGTGAATTTCAGGACACTTGCCAGCATCCTTGACCTCAGCCTACCTGATGTCATTGTCATACCCATGGCTGTGACAACCAAAATATCCCCAGAAATTGCCATATGTCCCTAGAAAAGGGGAGAGCAGAGCTAGGTTGAGGAACAATACCCTGAACACCTCCCTTTCCCTTGCCTGCTTGGTTCCCGGTTCCCCCTAGCATCTAGTGCACAGTAGATGCTAAGTACACACTGTTGAGTGGGTGGTAACTTGTGGTGATATTTTGTTTATTATCTAACAAATAAAACTCGCTTGAAGATTAGAGTGCAAATCTAGCCACACCTATTATCATAGAGGCTAAGCAGTGGTGGCACACACCTTTAATCCCAGCATTCAAGAGACAGAGGCAGACAGATCTCTGTTAGTTCAAGGCCACCCTGTGATGGGGAATGTCCTTCTGTATGTTGTGAATGTTTCTCTTATTGGTTGATGAATAAGGATGTTTCAGCCAATGGATAGGCAGGATTTAGCCAGGTGGGAAATCCAAACAGGGATAGAGAAAGGTAGTAGGTGGAGTCAGGGGGGTGCCGTGTAGCTACCAGGAAGATAGGATGCCCGGGCATTCTCCAGTAAGATAAGGACATGTGGAGATACACAGATTAATAGTTATGGTTTAATAATTAAGAGAGAGCTAGCCAGCAAGAAGTCTTAGCCATCGGCCAAACAGTTTATAGCTAACATAAGCCTCTGTGTGTTTATTTGGGACTAAACGGCTGGAGAACCGGGCAGGACAGAAACTTCTGTCAACAACGAGTAAAACGAAATTGATCCAGTCTAAAAGAGAACCAGAGCTCACAAAAAGGTGATCTCAACATTTTGTATCTCACACCTTTAATCCCAGCACTAGAGAGGAATATAAGGCAGGAGGAGACAGGAGCTGAGGGCAGTCTGAGGTTTGGAGGAGACAGATGCAGTCTGAGGAGCAGTGTGGTCTGGACATCCATTCTGAGGACAGGATCACCCTTTGGTCTGAGCACTGGTACTGAGAACTCTCTAGTGGCTGGCCACTTTGCTTCTCTGGTCTTCAGCATTAACCTCCATATCTGACTCTGAGTTTTCATTATTAAGTCCAACTAGAATTTGTGCTACAGTAACTTAGAGCTTTCTTACAACCATAGACATTCACCCTCGGATTAGACCCCTCTGAATTCTCTTGTCCCCTGGCCTGCTATAGGCTTCCTTGTTCCTCACTCCGGCTTTAGCTTTGAAGCTTTGAAAGAGCCTTTGCCCAGAATGAACATCACCCTTCACACAGGGCTCTACAGTGGATTCTCTGACAATCCCACCCCCAGGGCTAGCCAAGCTAGACGCCCCTCCCAGGCTCATCAACTCTAACACCACTGTATCTGCACTCAGTCAGTCTTCTCTGATGTACTTAATGAGAGCAGCTTCGTTGTGACTTCATTTTACACGTCTTTCTCTCCCTAACAACAGAAGCCAACTCTACTATACTGCCAGTGTTTGGTGTGTGTGTGTGGCCAACCCTGACACATGGGCGGGAGACAGCAGAGCAGTGGAAGCATTTAATAGTATCTGAGTTAACACTGCCTTTCAAAACTGTCACCTTGAGGGACTGGGCATCTGTTCAAACACTGCTGGCATTTCTCAAAATACTTTGACCTTTTGTAGGGCAGGGCTCTCCGAGCCAACTATCTCGTCTGTCAGAAAAGAAACTGGGTCCTGCTGTGTTTCACTCCACACCCCTCTCAACTCTTTAAGTCTTATAGATTTTCCTGGTCATCTCATTAACCTAACTTTATCTTTTCATGCTTAACGATTTCTGTAGAAATAATGTAATTAAATCCTCCTTGCGGGGTGGGGGAGAAAAGGCACAATGACCTTGTCACAACTGACTGAAACCATTGCCTCTAAAAGGAATATCTCAGGAGGAGAGCCTAGGACAGGAGGGAGGATCTGAGTGGCCGTGGTGCTGATGGGATGGGCTGTTCACCCAGCGAGGTGTGCCACGGCAAGTTCTTCCCGTGGGTAAGCAAGTTCTTTGCCACTGGTTAAACTTGATCTTCAAAGTTGTTAAAGTAGAGCACACCAGGGACTGGGAAGATGGCACAGCCATGCTTGCTGTGTAAGCTGGGGACCTGAGTTCAGGTCCCCGTCATTAGTGATCCACTCCACTCCACACCACTTTGCACTCTCTGCCACGATGTTCATCCTCGGTTCAGTCAATGGAGCAGACACTATGTACTCTGAGTCCCTGAACCAAAGTAAATCCTTCCTCCTCAAACAGGTTTCTCAGAGGTTTTTGTCACAGCAACAAAGCCTGACTAACACGGTTGTTTACCACGAAGAGCTATGGGCCTGGTATGTTCTACTTACTTTTGTGTGTTTATCTGTACATGTTTATGTGTTCACACAGGTGAGCAAATGGACGCTAGAGGTCAATGTCTTCCTCAATAATTCTTCACCTTATTTTTTGAGACAAGCATTATTGTTGAAACTGAAGCTCACTGATTCAACTATAATTGCTGGCCAATTGGCCCCAGGGATCCATCTGACCCTGCTCTCCTCCCCCAAGTGCAGAGATTACAGGCTACACACCGTGGAGTGGAGTAGAACACATTGCTAAGGATGGACAGAAAGACCAGGAGTGGGGAGAGGGAGAGAAACAGAAAGGCAATGCCCAGGATGGATAGGACCCCAAAGAGTATTGCCTCCAGTGACCTACTTCTTCAAACCAGGCTCCACCTGAAATTTTCCAACATTTTGAAATAACTCCTCAGATCATCAGTCCATCAGTGGATTGATCCACTGGTTACATCAGAGACATCATGATCCAATTACCTCTTGATAACTAGATCCATTCACTGGGGACCAAGCCTCGGACCTATTTCTGGGACATGTCATATCAAAAGCATAAAAAGCAACCAAGTCCAGTAGAACTTGTATGTGCCAGAGTAAAGTCTATTAGACAGGTTAAAGATGTTGGCAAAAGAGAAGTCCAGGATCTTTAGCTACATCATGGCCAGGGCAGGGAGCTTGGGAAGGAGCCCTCTTCTCCTGGCAGCCAGCCATCTGTTGTCATCATGATGTAAAATCATAGTGGGCACCCCTACTCTGAAATAGGACCCCTGGCATATGGTGCCATCATCCCAGCCTAGGGAGACAAAATATTGTTCTCCTCTCAGTCCAGTCATTCTCCTGTCCCCTGAGGTCCCCGAGAGCAAACCTTAAAGTCCATCATGATGTCCTGAAGCTGCATTCTCTTGTCCAGGTCCAGCTGCAGAGAGACAGGGTTCACATCTGGAAGGACAAGAAGCAGAAATGTTAGACAAAATGCTGTCCCCCATACCCCCAAAGAAGGCCTTGGTAACACCAGCTCTGGGCAGTGGGAACATCTCCAGATTTGACTCTGAGCCACCTCTGAGAAAGGAGTGGACCTGTATGGGTCCTACTTGTGTAAACTATTCAAACGTGTCCTTGTCACACGATGATGTCCCATTGTCACCGACACCTCTGATACCACAGAAGGTCCCAGCCTGTCTGTCACAAACAGGTTTGTTCCCAAGGCCCAAGTCCTACATGCACCCATCCACAGAGACAAGGCAAAGTGAGACAGATGTGGTCCCCTCCCAGGATGCCTTCTCCTCAACCTAAGGAAGCCCTTTAGCCTACAGCAGCATCCAATAGACTCCAAAACAAAGCTAGAAGGTTCTGCCTGCCCCACCTCCCACACCTTTCACCACAGAAACCCAAATTGTCTTGGAATGCCTCCACATGCCCCAGCCTGTGGAGCTATCGTAATCATGGGTCCCTAAGGGTGGCAGGTCCTCACCATTCTGTGACTGCCACCAGCGCATGGGGCCTGAAGATGGTGCGACATTCTCCACTCGGTGACTGTTGTAATTGTGAGGCAGCCTGGAGTCACACTTACAGCATTTCATCTGCCACTGTGAGGGAGAGAGATGGCAGAGCTCAGAGTGGGTCCCCTCGGGGCTCTCCCTCATATCCTGGGATCCTGGTACATGTCTTCATTGCAATGTACCCTCAAGGGACCTTGCCAGTGTCACCAACACACACTAAGAAAAATGAATTTCTTGTTTTTTGTTTTTGTTTTGTTTTGGTTTGGTTTTCGTTTTTCAAGGCCGGGTTTCTCTGTGGTCTTGGAAGCTGTCCTGAAACTAGCTCTTGTAGACCAGGCTGGTCTTGAACTCACAGAGCTCTGCCTGCCTCTGCCTCCCAAGGGCTGGGATTAAAGGGGTGTGCCCACCACCACCCGGCAAAAGATGAATTTCTTAACACAGGACTACTGTTCACAGCTTAATTCTGCAGCCTTCCTACTTACAGCCACGTGGATCAATGTTGGGGTTGGAGAAGGAATGCACAGTGGTAGAAATGGGCAGAAAGAAGAAAGAAGGTGAAACTCACACTGACTTAGCACCTACTGTGTCAGGGAACACTAGAACAGAACAAGGAAATTTGTGGTTCTGGCGCTAGCTCCTTTATTCCACTGCCCAGGCCATTTATTTTTTTCTAAATAAACTAAATGAGGGTTGAGTTATAGTCACCCCATGCACATTTGTTGAGCATGTCTTATGTGCCAGGCATGACACTAGGATCCACAGGTAAGATCCCACTCTAAGAAAGCCCGTATTTGGTTACCATTTCCCAGCTCCAGGATACCCTGTCCACAGGAGAGAAGCCAGATATCTTAGTTTCTTTTCCTGTTGCTCCAATAAAATCTCAGACAAAAGCAGCTTAAGGGAGAAAGGGTTTTTATTTTTTTTTTCAAGATACACTCTGTCCCTGTCAGATTTCCTCCAGCCATCAGAGCTGCCTCTGCTACCTCAGAGGGTTTCAACCTGTCACAAAAGCTGGTTCCTAATGTCCAAGTCCCTCCAGGCACCACAGAGACTAAGCAGAGGGAGATAAAGGCGATCCTCCTCCAAACTGTCTTCCCAACCTCAGTGAGTCCTTAGCCAATAGAGGGAAGCAGCCCACCATACCGGGAAAGTCAAAGCTGCAAGCGCTTGAGGCAGCTGGTCATGTCACATCCACAGTCAAAGAGCAGAACAGGATGAGTGCATGTTGCCATATATGAATTCATATGCGTATGCATAATTCGGCACACTTACGAAGGCCAGGACACAGCCATACCCACAGTTAACATAATGGTAATACCCCATAGGCCGGCCCAAAATGATGGACTTGCTCTGGAGCCCATCGAGCTGACAACACTGACCATCACAACTACTTTCCCAAGACAGGCCTGGCAAACAATACCCACCTCTTCCATGGCCTGTACATTTCTGAGTGGGACAGGGACTTAACCTCAGAGCTGCATGGATGGGCTCCAGGTCAAGGTGGAGACAATAGAGGAAAGAAGCAGATCTGAGAGGTGATTTGTCTCTGAGTCTGTGCCCATGAGCATATGTGCACTACACAGCACTCCCCACACGTACAGCATGGCCTTGACCCAGCTTCCTCGGGGTCCACACACAAATGTCTGCTCTCTCTGAGTAGCCATATCCCCAAGCCCTGCCCAAACCCAAGAGCACAGCCCAGAGAGCGGAAGGTTCACTCACAAGTTAAAAACAAGGCTCAGATGAGACCACTGGGCCCTGCTGGTTCTCCACATCCCTTGCAGCTGTTCAGTCTCAGCCGTGTGCAGGGAAGGTCATAAGTTGCCTGATCAGTGTTACAGGCCTGGGGACACTACTCAGGTATAGAGACTCTGTGACCATGCTGGACCTGCTCATGGGCTGTGGACACTCCTTCCCCAACACCATTTTCCCACTGTGTGCACACAGCACTGGCCCAGGAAAGGAGGAGAGCTGAGTGTTCTGCTCTAGGGTCTCCGCTCTCCTCCTCACTTCCCAGTTCCTAACCCTAGTCAGCAAAGGAACAGCATTGCCACCCTTCCTTAATACAACCAAAGATGCTTTAGAAGTACTTGTAGCTGAGCCCCAACTAGACTGTGCCCATCGCTCACTAGCCAGTCTCCATCCTGGTCATACCCACCCTCCCCTGCTGGATTTCTCGAACCACACATCTCCGTTTCACTCGGTATACTTCCTGTTGATTTTCATCACTGTCTACTGTCCCCTTCTACAGTGCCTTCTCTGTGAGGGCAAAGGATCCCCTTCCTTCCCTGCTGCCTCTCAGTGTGGAGACAGTACCCAGCACGCCACTGGCTCTAGCTAAGTACTCACTGAATCGACGAACGAGCAATGAACGGCAAGGCTCAACATGTGCCAGCTATTGTCAACCACACGACCAATACCTATTTCTCTCCTGAATCCAGCATGTCTGAAAGGAGTGTGGAGGGATGAGAAATTAAGTACTAACACAAAGGAGTGTGCCCCTGCCGCCAGCTCCTTGGGAGGCTGAGGCAAGAGGATAGATAGCTCAGACTCGTCAGACTGGGCCACATAATGAGACCTACCTCTTTCTTAAGAAAATAAAATTAAGTGATGGAGTTCTGGCCAGGTACCAAGAATTGTATTAGATAATTTAATGTAAAAACCTCTTTAAGGGGTTGGGGATGTGGACTGGGTGGTAGAACACTTGACTACTATACACAAAGCTCTGGGTCATCATCCCTAGCATGGCATAAAATTTGGCATGCTAGTAGATGCCTGTAATCCCAGTCCTGAGGAGCTGGAGGAAGGAGGGCCAGAAGTTCAAAGTCATCCATTACAGTGAGTTCAATACCAGCAGCTCTTTAAGGTGAGAAGTATTTCTCTCCCATTTCCCCCATGAAAGCTGCTGAGTGACAGACCCCACCTGGAGCTTGCTAAAGTTTACCATCTCTTCTTGTCCACAGAGCAGTAAGCAGGGCCTGTACTGACCCTGAAGCTGACCTTCAGGGGGACTGCAGCACAGAGAGCACTTTGGGAAGGACTCGGCTTCTCCAGCTCACTCGGCTCAGCTGCTATGGAGACCTGAGATGTGCCACTAGCTGAAATGCCTGGGCACCTAGTGTCATCTTTTCTGGGCAAGAGAAGGCTAGAGCAGGATGCCTCTCTGGACCCTATTTTGGTCCTTGGCAAGAATGTTCCATTCCCCACGTTCTGCCCAGCCTCGTGGGCAAATTTTCTACCCCCATTCTGTCTGCACTCAGCACATGTCAGGACAGACTAGGCCAGCTGCCTTCTGGCAGATGCTGTCACCAGAGCTACCTATCCCAGGCTCTGCTGGGAGCTGAGCCCAGGCCTTGACTGGCCAGGGCAGCACCAAACACAAGACTCTTTCTTTCTTAGCTGAGAACATTGATAGAAATGGCCTTGGTACTGCCAAATGACAGGATATTATGTAACCATTAAAAGGAGTTTTGAGAAACTTTTTCATTGCACGAGGAAGAAATTACAGCATAATGTTTTATGGACAAAAGTTAGTCTTAAACTTGAATATACAATATGATATATATAGGAACAGAGTATGTTGGGAAAGAAATATGCCAAAATAGTAGGAAAAACAAATGAAATTCCTGGCATTCACCAATTTTGACCTATAAGCATGTTAGCTACATCCATAGCTCAACTTAATATCTCTTCACTAGGGTTTCAGGTGACTTTTGATATGTTTAAACTTTTATATATTGAATGTTACTTGACTTTTAAATGTAGGAATATAGATAGGATTATAAAACAAAATACACTAGAGATGTCCAGTGTCAGTGTGTGTCACTGCTCTGAGCCTCCCTCTGTCACACAGACACCATGGGGGCCTGAAGCCATCTCCACTGTCCTTCCACGTGCACAGGCACTGACGAAGGGTCCAAAAGCCTCATGGGCTCAGACACACTACGTGCTTTGTGCTTCATGTCTGGGAACACAGCTGAGGAGGGAATTGGCTTTGCCCTCAAAGGGAGGCTAAGCCTTGGCTTCAGACAGGTATTTTAAGTAGCTCTGCTGTCAACTCAGCAGCAGGACGATGGACCTGAAATAGAACAGCTACAATAGAAGCTCAACTGAAGATAAGCTGTGAGCTTTCCCTCTGGGCTTCGGTTTCTTTATCTGTGTAGTGGGGGGGGAGTGTGTGGGGAGGTGTTAGTGTGTGTGTGTGAGTGTGTGCATGTGAGTGTGTGTGTCAGTGTGTGTGCATGTGTCTGTATGTGAGTGTGTAAGAGAGTGTGTGCATGTGTGTGAGAGTGTGTGCAAGAGTGTGCATGTAAGTGTGAGAGTGTGAATGTGTATGTGAGTGTGTGTGTGTGTGTATGAGTGTATCAGTGTGTGCATGTGAGTGAGTGAGCATGTAAGAGTGTGTGCATGTGTGTGAGAGTGCAAGAGTGTGCATATGTGTGTGAGAGTGTGAGTATGTTGTGTGTGTGCGCATGTGTGTGCATGTGAGTGTGTGTGTGAGTGTGAGAGTGTGTGCACATGAGTGTGTGTGTGAGTGTATGAGTGTGTGGGTGTGTGAATGTGTGTGCATGTGAGTGAGTGTGTGGGTGTGGGTGTGCATGTGTGAGTGTGTGGGTTGTGAATGTGTGTGCATGTGAGTGAGTGTGTGGGTGTGTGAGTGTGTGTGCATGTGAGTGTGAGTGCATGTGAGGCTCTTTGTACGGGTGCCTCCTTCTCTACAGCAATGGCTGCTCTCAGCAGCTGCTGCCTCCCTCCCTGGGGTCATATAGTTACCGTGCTCCCTGAGTTTTACCAAGACATGAAGCATTCTTATCAGTCCAGCCTGCCAGGCTTCCAGCCAGTTTGGCTCCTGTTTGCTCTCCAGCTGGAGAGTCTGGGCTTTCACCCTGAGCCTTCTTGAATCTCAGAAATCTGGCTGAAAGACAACCCCTCCCAGAGAGTTTAAGTAGGGCAGAGGGATGAATAGGAGCCTATGGGGCCTGCGTCAGTGGAGAAGAAAGGAGCAAGCAAAGGAAGAATGTGAAGGAAAGCAAGCTCTGGTTAGCCTTCGGGGTTGATCCAGGGAGCTGCCTGTATCCATCTAAGCT